TTGGAAATTATAAGCTCAATATTGCTACAGCTTTTATTGATTTTTTTGCTTATCTAGGTTTAGCTTTGATTTAAAAACTGCATCTGTTAAAATTGTGAAAAAATTGTGCTCTTTAAAACAGCGAAATAAATTAAAATAAATAAAAAATTTATGTGTTACATGTAATTCTTAATGCGATTAGTTGTAAGTTCATAATGATATTGATAATAAAATAACTTTCTTTAATGCTTGCAAAAAGATGCAATTAATTTATGTAAAACATTTTGAATCAGATGCGAAATGTGAGATAACGATTTCTGTTGAATATGGAACTTGAATGCTTAAAAGTTATTATGCCTTAAGTTTGCTTTATTTGCTTCTTACACAAGTGAAATAATGTTTTGATTTTATGTATAGGAACAATAGAGTATCGTTTGCCTTGAAAGAATACGTTTCATACTATTGATATAAACTTAAATAAATTATATAAATGATAATATATAATGATACAAAAGATTCAAGAACAATACGAAATAATTGTTTAATAAAATTAAATTAAATAAGTAGATACAGGTGCGTAAATTTAAAATATAAAAATAAAAAAGAAAAGCAAAGGAACCAACGCCGTAATTATCGCGCAAATAATTATTAAAGATATTGTACGTCCTGCAGTCTCCACGATTCTTTCCTTTCGAGGAGAGAAAGCAATGCGATATCTAAAATATCGTAGACGCATAGAAAACTCACGTAAGCATACGATCTGACAGGCAAAGTAAACATAATTCGAGAGAGCTAAATCGTCAAAATAAAAGATGTACAACCGCGAGAGCCAAACAGACTAATCTATAATTCTAAATTATAACTCGCGGTGCCTTAAAGATAAGCTGTTGACAGCTCTCTAACTGAGATTTACTCTAGTATTACGCCCTGCGTACTTTATGATTCTTTCTTTCGGAGAACGTAAGACGATATTTAAAATATTAAAATATTAAATTATCTGCAGATCGCAGACCCGCAGATCAGCCATGATGTGACAAGCAAGGCAAAACATCTTTGTGCCTAGAAAAATATTAAACTATAACCAACTGTTCTCTTCAATGAATCTACTTGAGAATCAATAAATTTTCAAAGATTAACCAATTCTTAAGGCCGGATTCACACCTTAGCAGAAAAACAGAGCCAATTAAAACTCGCAGTGATAGTAAGTTTACTAGTTAAGTTACTCAATTTCACAAAAAAAGAGGATAATCGGTGTATAAGTTTACAGTCGCATTAGACAAAGAATTTTATATAAAAAAAGTTGAGAGTCTTTAAAAGACGATTCTACGTATAAACATAGGTCAAAAATAATCCATCAACAAAAATAGAAAAAGAACTTAATAATTTAAAAAAAAAATGGTTTGAAAAAAGACATCATAAACAAGAAGGAATATTATTATTTATTCTAGTGATTCTCTTCTCCCCAAAGCCTATGGGCTTCCCAAGGTCCATAAGGAAAATTTCCTTTTAGTAATAGTTTCCTCAATAAATACTTCTTATATAATATTGCTTCCTTTTTCATAAAATTTTAAAAGATAGCTTTCCTAAAGCTGACAGTTTTATAAATAACAGTTTTGATTATGCAACATTCTATCAGGAAAAACACTAAAACATTCCGACACAATAATTTCACTGCATGTTGTTTCATTATTTACTAATGTTTCCATAGAGATCTTGCATTAAACGGTATCAATAGTAGATGGCATTTTATAGAGTCACACACTAAGATTCCCAAAAATGATTCATAAGTATGATAAAATTTATATTAACTTCTACATTTTTTACTTTCAATAACATAACTTATAAACAAGTTTATGGGACTCCTCTATGGGCTCCCCACTTTCTCGATATGACGATATAGTCATGCAGGACTTAAAAACATTGGCAATTAGTAATTAAATTGCGAAATGACTTTTTATTTCCGTCATGTAGATGACATTATTTTATGCACTTCCGTTGACATTATTACATATGTTTTGAATGAATTCAACAATTATAACGATAGACTAAAATTTACATTAGAAAAGAGATTATCGGATAATTGTGTATAAGCTTTTTAGACATAATGATCAAAGTAATAGATAACAAAATTAATTAGATTGGTATCACAAAAAGACATTCTCAGATAGATTACTCTCATTTTTCAAATCATCCGATTTGTCATAAAATAGGAACAATTTATAGTTGGTAGATAGAGCTATATTGCTATCACATTCTCAATTTCACAAAAGAAAATATAGAGAAAGCTATTAATGTTTTGCTATCCAATGGTTATCCTCTTGACTTAGTTTTTATAGAAATAAAACGCAGATTGAAAAATCTTCACCAAAGAGAAATTTAACAAGTCTAACAACAACAATATAATAGATACTAATAACACAATACGAACATTAATATTTTGTCATACTATATATAGAATCAATTTTGAAAAGTCGCTTCAGCAATAAAAAGACCTGACGTAGTGGTAGGATATCGTTGCATTAAAAAATTGAATGACTTTATAAGGGTTCCAAAAGGACAGAAATGATTGTCCCACGAAATAGAATGTTATTTATAGATTTAAATTGCAATGATTGTGACGCAAATGTCGGACAGACAAAAAGACAGTTAGGAACGAGACTTAAAGAACATACAAATAATATTAAATTAGACTCTGCTAAACATTCGGTTGTCACGGAACACATTCTAAATGAACAGCATACATTTGACTGGGATAACACTAAGATTATGGATCATGAAAAGAATTACCATAAAAGGCTAATATCTGAAATGATTCACATTAAAGAACAGAAAAATGGAATTAATTTAAACAGAGACACCAAATTGCTAGACAGTAGTTATTTTGACATACTTAAAAAATTAGCTGAATCATAGTTTAGAAAAAACATTGGTAATTATAAATACATCACACTTTCTACCTTGGCATTTGTTATTTAGACTTCGCAACACACACTTGAAATGTCGAGAAGAAGAACTTGTTAAAACGATAATGTAAGTTGAAAGATTTTTTAATTTTATCTGATATTAATAATTTAATTCGCGTAAAATATCCACAGCATGATTAAATGTCGCAAAACTTGGAATCTCAGACCAATCGGCTTACTCATCTATTGGTCATCAGCGAAGAATCGTTTAACTTTGTATTTTAATGTTTAACCAACTTTGTATTTTAATATATTTTACTTTGTATTTTAATATTTAACTTTGTATTTTAATATTTGATTTTTACGTATTGAAAAAGACTGTAGTGCAGTCGAAACGTTTACGCTGCATATTGTTTCTCTAACGGAATGAGAATTTAATTATTTAATTATTAATAATTCTTTAGATCTTATTTAATTGCTCGTTTAGTTGGCCTACAATATTTACCTTTTTTTAAATTTTGTTAATTTATACGAGCCTTTCATTAATTAATTTTACTAGTTAAATTCGGAGGTAGTAAAGGAGGATGTTGAAAAAAGTCGATTTCCTGACTATTGATAGAACCTAAAATTTGAGTTCCATGGGTATCTATGAACCATATAAGATGTCTTGTAGACGTCTAAAAATGATGGTCTTTTTTTCTAGAGACCTGGGGAAAGGATTGAAAATCTATCAAAACTATTGAAAATAGCGTCATTTAATCGATCTGAAGACAATTAAAATCAATGACATGGATGATTTTTCAATCAAACCAAGTTCTGGTTAAACATTTATCAAATAGTTTTTAAGATTAATGTTTTAATATCGGGATCGCAAAATTCAAGATTGCGGATCCAATATAGTGAATCAGTATTGAAAGAAACTAAATTCCAGGATGTACTGTGAGGATGTTTGTTTTTCTGAGGAGAGGACTCTTTGTTGGAATGCCTGAATTCGCGTGTCAGGAAAGCCGCGGGAGAGGCGAACAAAGGGGTCTTGCTCATGAGATGGTTGTAATAATTGTCACACCACGTTTAACTGAACTAATCTTTATTCACGCGCATGGCACATACAAAATACCATGTTCCCGCCGTGTGACTCGATATATAACTTGACGTATGCCATACAAGTTGTTGCGACGTAGTTGTACGTCGTGCGCTCGACCACACTCCTTCGCTGTACTTTAGATAATAATGCCCCGTCACGGCCGCCGTCTTCTTCCTCGTCGACCACGAGGTTCGCGCCACTGCGCGCGCATCTCACACCTGCGCGCGCATCTACAGGATGCGCGCGCCTATCCGCACGCAGGCATACTTATGCTATGCAAGATATATCTTGTAATATATCTTACAGTACCTACATAACATCGAAGTCTTGTAGACGTCTAAAAGATGTCTTATTAAAGAAATCTTATAGACATTTCTAAAAGATGTCTTCCAGATATCTTTTAGATGTCTAAAAAGATTTTGATGAAGATGTCTTTGTAGAATTTCTAAAAGATATCTATTATACATTTTAAAGATATCTCAAATTCCACATAACATCGAAGTCTTGTAGAAGTCTAAAAGATGTCTTATTAAAGAAACCTTATAGACATTTCTAAAAGATGTCTTCTAGATATCTTTTAAATGTCTAAAAAGATTTTGATAAAGATGTCTTTGTAGAATTTTTAAAAGATATCTATTATACATCTTAAAGATATCTCAAACATTAAAATTTTTTAAATGAATATATATATTTTTTTATAATTTATAATTTTAAAGCAAGTGTTATATATGTAACATATATTACATAATTTAAATCAACCGGGGTTACACTCCTATTATAAAGCATATAGGGTGCATTCGTTTATGCAGTGACTGCCGCAGAATGCCGCAGATGTCGTTCGTTTACTCCACCTGCGCAACCGACTGCAGCGCAGTTTGTTGTTCGTTTAAGCAGAGCTGCTGCCTATCTGCGCAGCCATCTCGGAGGTCCTGCTCAGGATGCTTTGCTCGCAGTACTGCGGACTACTGCGTAAACGAATGTAGTCTTCTCCATTGTTAAGCCAATTGAACTTGGAAACGTTGCTTGAAAATTATTTCAATTATAAGTTATGTTATGAAAGTTCAGAACAAAGAAGGTGGAGAATAACTCCTCCAAATAGATCCTACAAAACTAAAAGTAATGCAAGGTAAGTAATACAATAAAATTATGAAGTCTGTTAATTTATATTTACGATCTAATTAACTTAAAAATGCACTTTTATCAAGAATATAAATTTAAAGTAATCTGTTTAAAAAAAATGTGCTTTGTATAAAGATGCAATTCTGTTACAGTCATTCCTAACTATTAAGCTACTTCGTCCCCAGTTAGTTTGGAAAAATCTGAGAAGTCTACATTCAGCAACATTTCAATCCTACCGTTATCACTGTCTGAAAATGTTATGTGCACACGTCATATGTCAGAACCTTCAACCTATTTAAAAATTTTATTATATTTATTCAAATAATAATTCATATTTAATATAAATATGATGGTTTCTAAATCGGCCTAAGAGCCATAGCACGAAAAATTACGAAAATTAATTATTCGGAAACTGTATCTCTTGGTACGAGATTACTTAAGTTCCATATATTAATTAACCTTGAACTTACATATGGAGAAATAGGCGCGAAAAATATAGGTCCGAAAAGTCGCTGAAGCGGGAATCAAACCCGCGTCTTTCACTTTCCGAGCGACTGCTCTTACCACTAAGCTATTCAGACTCTTTCGATCCTATATTTTTCATTTGCCTTTTTAGTAGATGTTAGTAAATAACGCCGTGATTAGGCCAGGCGTGAATAAACTCAGAAATAAATATTTTTTATCGGCTCTCAATATAAACAATATAAATATGATGGTTTCTAAATCGGCCTAAGAGCCATAGCACGAAAAATTACGAAAATTAATTATTCGGAACTGTATATCTTGGTACGAGATTACTAAAGTTCCATATATTAATTAACCTCGAACTTACATATGGAGAAATAGGCGCGAAAAATATAGGTCCGAAAAGTTTAAATAGCTATTAGTGGTAAGAGCAGTCGCCCGGAAAGTGAAAGACGCGGGTTCGATTCCCGCTTCAGCGACTTTTCGGACCTATATTTTTCGCGCCTATTTCTCCATATGTAAGTTCGAGGTTAATTAATATATGGAACTTTAGTAATCTCGTACCAAGAGATACAGTTCCGAATAATTAATTTTCGTAATTTTTCGTGCTATGGGTCTTAGGCCGATTTAGAAACCATCATATTTATATTGTTTATATTGAGAGCCGATAAAAAATATTTATTTCTGAGTTAATTCATATTTATTTAAAATTTCTTTACTTACGCACTCCAATTACAATCTGAGCAATCAATTCACGCAGGTGATCGTTCGGTAAATGATGTCACGTGACTCGCAGATAATAGACGCAGTGGATGCGCAGTGGATGCGCTAATCGCTGCATAAACGATGCACCCATATATTTTCGACTCTAGAGGTTCGCATCTAACCCAACCCAACCTCTATTTATTTCTCACTAGCAGAAAACATACACGATATCTATATAGCTTTCCGATTCACGCATGATGCGTATGAATGAGTGACAAAAGAGTTATTATGTGTAAAAGTGTGTGTAATGTGTAAAACTGTGCGAGTGTTCACAATGTGCAAATTTTTATTGAATATTTCATAAAATTATAAAAATATTTTTATAATATATTCATGTAATATTTATTACATACATAATGAAAATAATTTATTAAAATAATTTATTTTAAATTACATTATTCTGTTACAAATTTGAGATTATCTAGTTGTAATATTTTCTTTTCAGTGATAAGAATGATGAGGGAACTAAGATATTCGACTTTTTCGAAGAACATTGAGAGGACTTCTTCGAGTTATTATTTAGCACAATTGCCATTTGATCCAAAAACAGGTCATACTATTTTTACTACTTATAAGGGGCTGCATACAATACACAATAAAAGGAACAGAAAACAAAGAAAAGAATAAAAAACAGTTTAATATGAAACATATGTAATGTAGTAACGCAGAATAGAAAAATTTTTGTCTATTTATCCCTTTTACTTACTCCTACTATTGTGCACAGCCTTTAAACAGCACTCTTGTTATTACAATTATACATATTATTATTATTAATAACGTTTTATTATAATATTAAAAATTTTATTAGGAAAATGATTCTCTGAGTAGCATTGTTTTCTTGCATTGAACCAATATTTGCTGTTTGTCACATTTAAAGATGTCTTTTATTATTCATCCTGGATGATATCTTAACATCGCTGTTATAAGGGATATTTTATTACATTTATTTCAATTCTTTTTATCTGTTTAAATTGTTTGAAATAATGATAATTTGTTATTGTAATTTATTTAATTTCTTATTTATTTTAATCTACAGAAAAGATCTTGCACTTTCACAAGTAGTTTTTTATATCTTCTCTCTATTCGCATCATACAAGTTTGAACAGTATGTAATGGATTATTTGTTCCAAATAAATTCAGATTACTATTTTAAAAATTCTACGTTTGCAAACATAGTGGTAAGTGTACTTTAATAGATTTTATTTATATGTTTTTCAATTTTTATTAATTTGTATTACTTTGTTATTTATATTCTTTGTGATGTATGTATATAATGTGACACATAAAATTATAACTTATTAACAATTTTTTAAATACTAATATTATATAAATAGAGTATACATGTATTTATTCACTAATATAAATGTATATATATTATCCACAGGGGCTGTGACTCATGCAAAAGAAAATCACCTGATTGTTCCATTGCATTGATTGTAAAACATAAGGAATTGGTGGCAACATGCAGGTGATAAAATGCAATATCGGATGAAAAAGATGCAAAAAGAAGAAAGAAACACTGAAAATCAGCATTAATATTAGATAGCTTAAATATTAAGCTTCTTGCATAATGTCAGGCAACAGACAGAAGAAACAAGAAATAAAAGATATTCTCCCATAAAGGGCAAAGAATAGATATTACTTTCTGCTCTTATTGGTGAATATCTTTTATTTCCTGTTCCTATTGCCTGTTATTGCCTGGCATTGTGCAAGGGGCTTTAGAGACAGGGATATATATAAAATATATATATTATATATATATATATATATATACATATATACAATATATATATAATTGGACAAATGATATGAACAAATTTAATTAAAATATTTTTAATTGACGATTAATTTTAGAAAGATTAATTAGATTTTGTTACAATGACGATTGATATAAGCTAGATTAATCGAAGATCGCTTAATTAACAATTAATATGATCGAAGTCAATTAAAGATTATTTAATTGACAATTGATATAAACAAAATTAATCGGAGAGCGATCGATTAAACGATTAATACAAGCTAATTTAATTAAAAGTTTTTTAATTAACGATTAATATGTTAATTTTAATTAGAAGTACTTTAATTGACAATTGAAAAAAACAGATTCAATCGAAGATAATTTAATTGACAATTGATTTGAGCAGAAACAATTAAAAAATATATAATTGACGATTAAATATAGCAAATTTAATGCGAATCTCTTCCATTAATAATTGACTTAAGAAAATCGATATAATTTCTCTATTTCCATTAATTAACAATGTGTAACGATTAATAAAATTTAAATTTTTATCGAAGATGTTTGACTGATGATATTAATATGACTGAATTTAAATAATATATATCTTTTCCTTGATTCTAGCTAAGTTATTGTACGTAATAGTTACAATATAAATAATAAATAATTTACGTTTTTTAAACCATATTTTTATTCAGAACATTTTAAATTTATTATACATTTTATTATACATTGTATACTGTATATATAAATTATAAATATAATTTTGAAAAAAAACTATTTTTAATCATTTTTGTTATAAATTACTTTTGTTAATGTTTTTACAAAACATATTGAGGGAGAGTGGGTGGAGCAAAAAAAGAAGGAAGAGAGAAAGGGGAGACAAAGAAGGAGGGAGGAAGTGGGGAGAGAGAGAAGGGAAAGGAAGAGAGAGAGAGAGGAAAGAGGGAGAGAGGAAGAGAGAGAGGGGTGAGAGAGGGGGGAGAGAAGGAGGGAAAGGGGGAAAAGAGGGGAGAGAGAAAGGGAGGAGGAGGGAGGGAGGGGCAGGGGAAAAAGAGAAGGGGGAGGGAGAAAGGGAGGAAAGAGGGAAAAAGGGAGGAAAAAGGGGGAAAGGTGGGAGGAAAGGGGAAAGGTGGAAGAAAGGGGGGAGGAGGAAAGGGGAGGGAAAGGATAGAGAGGAGGGAGAGGAGGGGAAAGAGAGGGGAAGGAAAAGGAGGAGAGAGAGAGAGAGAGAGAGAGAGAGAGAGGAGAGAGAGAGAGAGAGAGAGAGAGCTTTTTATTATGAGTTACAACACACACACAATATCGAAAATAATTTAATAATAATAATAAAAAATTCAAAAAATATTTTATTATTAGTGATGTGTTCATGGAAAGATCCAATCCTAGGATGGATCGATACTTTTAATGGTCCAGTAGGACTGATGGTTGCTGGCGAAAAAGGATCAGTGCGAGTACCATTAGCTAGCAACAATATTTTAGAAAATTACATACCAGTAGATATTGTCATCAATACTATAATTCTTGTAACGTGTCTTCTAATTCGAAAATCGAACGACACTTTGCTTATGTATGAGTATGTATGAGCTATCAATTGTGATTAGTTTGGAAATAATTGACGCAGTCAGTTCCGAGAACTCAAAAATTTGCATCTAAAAATGCGAAATTTTTCACATTTTATTTTAAAACTTTCAGCTTTCAGATTTCACGTATACTATACTTCGCACGCACACACTCAATGTGCTTTTGGTCCTTAAAGTGGCGACTCGTATCGTACATATTTACAATTCGTATTCAATTAATGACTTCTGTAAGTACACTTTAATAAGAGATAAAATTAATGTGAGGTGTGTGAGTAAAAAACTGTCACGATTGAAAGACGTATTTTGACAGTTCAAACGTGTCGAGGAGTTAATAATGTGATATAAAATAATGATCGAGATTATTTTGATTTATTTTATGTACATTAAATTAAATAAAAAAAGATAAAGAAGGCAAAGAAGATAAAGCGAAAAGAAGAAGAGGAAGAAGGAAGAAATAGAGAAAGTACATACTATTACATAAGTACATACTATTATATTATAATAAAATATACAAATATAATATATATTATATTATTAATATTATATTATAATTATGGTAAATATCATTTATATATGTATACACACACACACACACACAAACACACACCAGGTAACAAATTGACGTCATTAAAGGTCAAAATAACGTTACTTGACTTGATTTTAGAACCAGTTCGATCGCTTCTAGACAAACTTCGATCGCCCTTTGCATTTTCAATTTAATATAAGAAGATATCAAATAAGATAAAAATTATGTAAAATTTTAGAAATTTTTACTTACTTTATAAACAAAACTAAGAATAAAATATGAAAAAAATTAAAATATAAATTCAAATAAACAAAACATTCATTTTTTGTACGTTTCTTTGGTACGTTTACAAATTAAGAAAAATATATTACAACAAAACAAAAGGTTAAACAGTTAAAAATAGTACTTGCGCGATTTTAAAGCGGCACAATCTTTAATTATAATTTCAAAAATAAAAAACAAGTAATTAAATCATTTTGGGCGTGGCGTTTCCTTTTCTTGTGATGTTCCTAGGTAATTGCCTATAATGTCTATATAGTAAAACCGGCACTGGACTCTACTATCTATAAAATCAAAGTATACAGCTATCTCTTAGTATAACGATATTGACTTAAAAGAGACAATATCGTTTCAAGTGCATTTGTAGAATTTATTTGCTCCTGCGTCTACATTGTTAATACCGTTATGCTTTATTTTAACAACAATGGATAAAAATAATGCAGCAAAATCAATTTCGGCTTTTACGCTGGACTAAGTATACTTTTGACAGGTGCAACAGGTTTTTTGGGCAAAATATATTTCGAAAAGCTACTGCGATCTTGTCCGGATGTTCGAGAAATATTTATATTGATGTGTCCAAAAAACGAACTCTGAGTCTTAACAAAAGACTCGAGAAAATATTAAACTTACCGATAAGTTATTCATAAAATGGTGATATTTCTTGCAACACACAGCATTTCTTTAAAAATTGTTATAACGTTTTGATCAAAAGAATTTTTAGATTATTTTTATATTATACTATATATGTCAATCAAAATTAATTTTATAATTATAATAAATTTGATAAAAAAGTGTATGAGACGAAACATTGAGAGAAACGTTTAGAATAATTATATAAATTCTAGATAAAATGATTAAAAAACATTTTACAACTTTTGCGTAAAAATATTTTACAGTTAAACATTATTATGCCAAATATTCTAACAAATATTATATAGACATAATATTTTTATTTCAGTTATACGATAAATTACTACAGGGGGGGGGGAGCAGTCTTCAAATTTTAAGAAATTAATTCCAATTTCTGGCGATACCAGTCAAGAAAATTTAGGTTTATCAGCTGTCGATAGACAAATGCTGATTAAAAGAGTAAATATAATAATTCATGCAACCGCATCCGTGAAATTTAACGATATCTTAAAATACGCCATTCTTACTAATACCAGATCAATGAGAGATATATGTATCTTAGCCGAATGTATGAAGAATCTAATTGTAAGTTCGAGATTGATTCTACATTCGCAATATTCCTGAAAAAAATTCTCTCATTGTATTTTATTAAGTGAAATAGCTTACACTGAGTTTTTATTTAATTTGCGAAAGATACAGTAACATTGTCATTGCACATTTATTTTTAGAAATATGTTTTTCATAAGGTACATCTTTCTAGCTTAACATTTAAAATGTAATGTAATTTTGTCTTTGGAATAGTAGCGAAAATATCGTCAACATATCTATAATAAGTCGGAACATTGAAACTAAGTTGACTTAAACAATGTGTTTCAAGATCATCCATCACTATGTCTGCCAAGATGGGTTTTTAAAAGTATTGGATTTAATGTTGTTCATAATATTCCTAAAAAACCGAATCATTTAATTACACTCGGCAAGGATAGATTGCCTACAGATAAAAAGACTGAAGTAGTTTACGAAATTAATTGTAATGATTGCAACGTGTCATACATCGAACAAACAAAGAGACATCTATGTACACGTGTCAAGGAACATTTCAGCAACATCAAAATGCATTCGAGTAATTTATCAGTTATCAGCAAACATAAAATTGAATTCGATCACAATTTTGACTGGACTTTGCCTGTTATTTTGCACAATGAAAAACACGTAAGAAAGAGAGAAATCGCTGAAATGTTTTTTATTAAAAAAAATAATAACGCTATTAATTTACAAAAGGATACCGACAATCTAAGTAATATCTACGACAAAATAATAAAGGTCGTTTAGTCTCAAATAACTCGTCTAAGAGTCTTGACGTGTTTTCAAACCGACACTATGTTCGTTTTTGACATCTTAGAATTATAATTTTATTTTTAATTTTACAAATTACTTGATAAGGACTCAAAGAAGGGTCGAAACGTTGTGATTGAATAAATAATATTTGCCAGTACGGTCGAGAGAAGATTCTTACCTATAATAATAAATATTTTAAAAAATTTAAAAAAAGAAAATAGTTCATGTATTCTGCGCCCCGGAAAAAATTTTAAAATTAATGTTTGAAATTATGAGCATAGCTGTATGTTTTGCATTGAACTCTCTACAACGTATATTATAGCACCTGAATGTTCAAGCGCCATGCACATAGGTTGATATGTGTCAGGGAGACCTAGTAACATAATAACTCCTAGAAATTCATCATCAATCGGTTTATCTACAGTACGAAGTTTTTCAGCGACGACATAACGTCATTGACATAGGTTTCTATTGAAGTAAAATTTTCCAATCTTACGGAACATAGACTACAAAGAAGTCCCACACGTCGATTGAGTCCCTTATCTGCATTTTCTTAAATGAATTTTCAAGTACATTCCATGCCTGCTTAGCAGTTTCACACGTCATAAGGTATGAAAAGCAGCATTGATCGACCATGAGATTAATCTTTGAGAGAGCTTTCTCAT